TATTAAAATTGATTGAACATCGATATTTCAATTTAAGAAATTTTGCCCGAATACTCATAACGTTACGGACTTACCCAAATATTAAATTAGAACACCATTATAACATGATTGTTCATATTACTGTACATGATCGAATAGATGCAATCCTTAGAGCCTGAATTGTTTGATTGATCATAAGTATCTAAATTTACTTCACTTCATTCATAATATAACGCTGATAATTAGTAAACTTCTTGTCTACATCTTGGCTAATACATTTGAGCAACGCCTTCGTACTGTTTTTTCTTGAGGTATCTTCGAAATAATATCAAAACCAATAATACATTAATAAGAATCCAAGCACCTATTGTACCACCAACTATTGCACCTATGTTAGGAGTTGTATTCTCAGGTGAAGGCGAGTTCGGTGTTATATTTCCTGATATAAAGTTCATTAACATCAGATTATCAAAATCTCTAGTAACATCTGCAATCGCAATTCCCGAAGCATTCTCTTTTATAAAATCGAGTTTATATTTCAATGATTGAAAATCATCATAAGAAACATAATAGAATTGTGTAGATACACCAGGGTATTGTTGATAAATATACGACTGTTTGGTTTTGAGATTGTCAAAGCCATAGATCCATGGTGAGGATGCACTTGTATAACAAGGAGGTGATAAGAAAGTAGTCAGATTTTTCCATGGCAAATATGCATATGATGTATTTTTACATGGGTCATCAATAATTTCAGCAGCGAATGGGAATTTAAGGTTCGAACCACTTACAAGTGTAAGATTTTGATTCTCAATATCTTTTGTAATATTATTGGAAATAACACTTTCAACAACTCCACCAAATTCAACACCTAAAACAAGTTGCAATTTATCAACATAATTATACCAACGACTGAAAATTTTTTGAATATTATCTATTCCAGCACTTGAATATGCAGAATTTATATTAAGGTGAAACGCCTAAAATTTTACACAAGTTATAAATCATATTCATAATATTACTTTTAAAAGGATTAAAATGCTTACTTGAATATTTATGAAACTAATGTTAGCTGGACTAATTCCATCTATAGGATACTGGCCTGCTGTAACCGTTAAAAGTTTGTTTAATGGTTTTAATCTGCTTGATACATCATTTAAAAACTGTACAAATATGGTACTAAAATTGATTTGTTGTTGTGGTAATGTTGGTTGTTGAAAGCACGGAAGCTTATAAGGATATTCAATATCAATCTATAAGTTAATTAGAAAGTCATTAATATAATTATCATGTGATTGCGTGAAACTAAATAAAAGTTAGTTGAATTTACTCCATGGAATGAGTAATTAGTAGTGATATTAGTTAAATCATCAATGAATTTTTTTGTCTGCTGATCAGTCGGAAGATATGTGCCCGTTCTTAGAGGAGGAAATTTGATAAAATCAGATGCATTAACAGGTAGCAAGACTGAAAGAATTAACTATGGAATAGACAATTAGTTATTAATAAATGTCTTTTTTAAATGAACTCAACATTTGGTACGTACTTTAAAAGTCAAATTATTCTTATTTTTATAAAGGGTCAGGTCATTAAATTTGTCTAATTTATTTTGAAACACTTGAAATGGCCCAGTTCCATTAAGAAGGTCATTTGGGCTAAATGCTAAAAGTGTTTAAGTTAATTAACACTATACAGCTAATTATTATAACTGAATTTAACAAAAAAATCTTCAAATTTTGTATACCAATATAGTTTAAATGAGTAATTGAAGAGCTAATATTATAATCTATACCCAGTTTAGAATTAAGTTTAAAAGCGGGATAATATCCAACAATTATGTTTGGTTTAGTTGGTGGTGTTATGCATGATTGACTCAAGGCTTTATGTTTCGTCACTAACAGAACAAATCCATACGAAAGAAGTATTATAAGCTTATAAATATTCATTTTAATGATGTATAACTTCCTCTCTTTTTCTTCAAACTTCCCATCTGCCAAGAATTTTTATGCAATCTTAAAATGTTACAGCATACAGCAATTGTATTCACTATCCAAATCCTTACCTAATATATACTTATTACGAGATAGTTATTTTTTGTACCACATTTAGTAAATAAACTTTCTATAAAAGTGCTGAGTAATCTCAAGGATCTACTTTCGACGTTTGGATCTTTAACGTTAACCATTTGAATCAATTTTCGATGTCTTCAAAAGACCAAAATCATGATCAAGAGGTAAATATGCCACTCTGAGTTCCTAATTTAGGTACCTTCTAATAAGGACTTTCTATAGATCACTCACCAACATCACGCTCCGTATTTGAGTGGCTTAGCTCTAAAACTTTTGATCCCTTTGCTTGAATATGTCCCTGGAGTATCAAGCTACTTTTTCTGGAACACTGGATTAAAAGTTCTGAGAAATAGGCCCTATAAAGAAGAAATGACTATAGTGCCATTACCTTTACCAAAAGAACTATTTGGTATTGAAAACCCAAAGGTAATTTAACAAAATGCATGTGTAGATTTATGTAATTATGATATCACATATTGTTTAATTCAATGTATACATGGCCAAATCATTTTGGCTTGAGTCGAAAATATTACGGCTTATATCGTAATCAGTTTCGAATAAGCTAAAATAGTTTCGGCTATATGTATTATTTGTGCTGTCATACGCTAGGTTGGAATTGGACATATTCTGATCTCAGTCGAATTATCCAATCGAACATATTCCCAATTGAGAGCACTAAAATTTTTATGATCTTCTCCAAAATACATTATTTTATCGAATCACCTTGATTATGAAAAAATGGACAATCAATGTATTTCGTTGATATATGTTTAAATTGTAATACATTTATAATTCTTGTAATAGGCAGTCGATGGGTTTGAAATTTTTAGCCAGAAAAAGAAAACACATAATCAAGTTCCAGAAAATCAAAGATTTTTATGTGTGAGTGATTATACTGAAGCATACACTACTAAAAATATCACACCTCTACAGGTATGTGAAGTATAACATTATTTCAATTATGAGGTTTAATCTGATATAAATTTTAGTAATAACCTTTCATGATTTGGCTATTATAAAAAGGTATGCGAGAAATTAATTGATAACATAAAACATTCATGCTCTAAAGCATGCGATCCACCTCTTTACGGTTGGTTTACATTTAAAATTCGATTATAGTGATCTTATAATATCCAATTTACTATATACTAACTATACACTTAAAATGGTGATTTGGTAATTTTAGGCATGTATCAATACCACGAAGATGATATTATGGTACAGGCCGAAGCGTCAACCTCTCGGTATAATCAAAATCAATCGTTGGGTCCACTTGACGGTGTTCCTGTGGCGGTTAAGGATGAGCTTGATGTTGTTGGTTATGAGACACATGTAGGGACTGCATTCCTTAATCGAGGAAATCCTGCTCCTAGGGATGCGTTTTTGATAAGAAAATTAAAAGAACAAGGCGCTATCATAATCGGAAAAACGAACATGCACGAATTAGGATTTGAGTATGTTTATTGAATATGAATATTTTGTTAAATAATATTTCATTGTTACAATGTTATATATTATATTGCTTTTTTCGATTAGTATTACGACTAATAATCCGAATACACATACATCTCGTAATCCTTACAATACCAATCATTATTGTGGAGGGTCAAGTGGAGGTAGCGCATGTGTTGTTGCCAGGTCATTAAAAATTCTTCCTATCAATTTCTTCCAATATTTTAAATTTTGTTTATTAATATGATTATATTTCACTTTATAGTGGTTTATGCCCAATCTCTATAGGTTGTGATGGTGGTGGTTCTATCAGGTAATTACTAAGATAGTCTTTGGTTAATAATCCGTTAATATCGAAATAGTTGCTTGATCGAAAATCAGTTAATTATTTATATTGTTATATTTTTGTTTAGAATACCGTCTTCATTTTGTGGGATCTATGGATTAAAACCGACATGTGGAAGGATTTCTTCAGTAGGAGAATGTAAGTACTTCATATTAAAAGATCCCAGTATTTATACATATATATGGGGATGTCATCAGAAATCAAGAAAAAATTTTTATTAAGATTTCTAAACTTTAATTGAACATAAATTAAACATAAATAACCAACTTTTAATTATTTTAATATTCTTTTTAATTCTACAATTTATAGAATTAAAAAGCATACTGAGCAATTAAAATTGCTCTATCAAGTTATATATTTATGTTTAAAGTTCAGAAAATTTCTTAAATAAATATATAATATGTCAATTCATGCAATTAATATCTTAATTACTTTTGTTAAATGTAGTTGCTCTTGGTTGTTCTGTAGGTAAGATCAATTATTAGCATATTAAATTTTAAAAAAAACTAGTCTGACCTCTGTTTTTTTAGCTGTCGCCGGTCCTTTGGCTGCTTGTGTTGATGATTTAGCATTATCTTATTATGCTATAGCCGGAAAAGATCCAGAGGTTTGTTATAGTATAAAGTTTATACAATAATTGATTACATTTATATTTACCTTGATTTTTTATCTTAGGACCCGAGAACTTTACACCAGCCACCACCCACACTCCATGGTCTTTATTTTACTGATGATTTGTCTGATCTAAAGATTGGTATATTCTCGCAATGGAATAAACAAGTAAAGGACCCTCTTATTACTTCTGCTCTTAATGAATATATTGATGAATTCAAACGTCGCGGTGCCGAATTTATTGAGATCGATATTCCGGAGTTAGAAGAAGCGCGAATAGCTCATTTAATTACAATCGGATCTGAACACTGTTCCGTTGTTGACGGTTTCAAAAAACAGGCGCACTTATTGAATCTACCTAATAGAGCGAACATTGCCACACTGAGTAATGCCAGCGCTTCTGATTACATTAAAGCGCAACAAGTTCGTACGCGTATTATGCATAACGTCTCTAGTGTATTCTCCGATGTTAATCTCATTTTAACGCCTACTTGTGCCATAACTGCACCTCCAATCTATCGACGAGCTTTAAAATATGGTGAAATTAATACTTCTGTTACTGCTGATGGAATTAGATTTGTTCAGTTGGCCAATTTTACCGGTATTCCTGCAATTACTGTACCAGCTGGTTATGATGATAAGAACCTACCCATTGGATTACAATTTATGGCAAAATGGTATGATGAAGCAACATTACTCAGAGTTGCAAAGGTCTCGGAGGAAATACTTGGAAATAAAAGACAAAGACCTGCTGAAAAATATTGGTTTGGAGATTTATTGTGAAGGATTCATGTAAATGGTTTATAATTCTTGATGATCTTGAATTCAGACTTTAATTTACTAGATATCTTTCCCATAAGTAATAAGGTAGTTTTTTCTGTTAAGTAAAGCTTAGTCTAATTTTACATTGCAAAGTAATATTTGGAATTATGCGAAGTCAGGTTCGGAAATTTTTTTGTACACATAACTGATGGTAATTTAACTCTTTAAAATAAAAAAAACTATACCAATAACTTAATAAATTCGATTTCATGGTAATTCGATGTTTTATTTTATTTCAATACATAAATTTTAACATTGAATGTGATGTTCTTTTGTTGCCTTATAAATCAATATTTAATATATAATACCCTTTCGTGTACTATGATAAAATAAACTCCCACAAAAGAAAGTGCAATCAGTGATTAAAATTCAAAATAAAAACTACTTGTCATTTGCAAGTAAAATCTTTTTCTTGTACAAATATCTTTTTATAAAAAAATCAATATATATAAATATACATTTTGTGCAGCTTTTTTAAAAATTTATTTATTAGGTTTGTATATTTTTATGTGTTCTTTTCGTTTTCTACAAAAATTAACTAATCTAATGTCTTCCTATGAGAATCCACCTACGGTAGGTTGATTCCAAATAAACATAGGTTTTAATATAATTCTAAATGTGACCAAGTTGTTAAAGAATTCCAATTTAACTTAAAATAAAATTTCAAGTGTACTTCTCGAGTACGTTGTAAGTCTTTTTTTTTTTGATGGGTTTATTCATAACGTAGCGCATTGCAAATTAATTAAATTCAAAAGCATTACACGATTAGTGGTGGGATGGCAACTATTCTCAGAGTAGTTTCATTCACAATGATTTTTGTATACAAGTTTTTGCATTTGCATCTACTTGTGAAGAGAGTTGCATAATAGACACTTTTGAGCGTTGAAGGAATGCAGTCTATAATGAACTCTGGATAAAACGAACTCAAAATTTGAAATTTCATAATAGTTTGTTATATAAAAAGTGCAATGGGTTCTTAAGAAAACAGTAATCTTTATAACTTTTTTTTCAGAATCCTGAAGGAGTTGACTGTACTATCTAATTCTGAAAACTTATCAGATGCGGTTAATACTGAATTTGTATCCAAGTCTATATGTGTCATTCTCCAAAACTTCGAGGATCTCGCAGGGGAGTGTCTCTCGATCGTTATTCTTGTATTTGCTGGATCTTGTGAAAGTCGACTATTAACCGATTTATTGCTAAGATATTTGGAAAGCAGTTTTTCGAATGCGGCATGAAGTAAAAATGGATAATCTTGAGATTCGGTCATCAGTAGAGTTTGCAAAGAATGAAAAAGTGACCATGATGAAATGTGTAATTTATTTAACTATCGTTACGTTTATTGTAATATCGAATTTAAGGTGCTATTAAATATATCGATTATTAAATTTAAAATCTTATCAACTTGGTCTACTTTTGGTTCCGGTCCAACCTAAATATGCAATAATTCCGTTCAGACGTACGACATGGATAATAGAAAAAATAATGACCACTTTCAACATAAATAGCTCGGAGAAACACAAATTAATAAAAATACGCAATTCAATGAGTGTGGAAAATGTAAAAAATATAGAAATTGTTATTTTCACACCCTTTTTTGATATTGCCGCGCCCCTGTTAATAAAACAATATTAATCATTAGGGTTTTGGTTAGGGTTTAGGGTTAGCAGAGGTGTGAAGGTATCAAAAAAGGGTGTGGAAATATCAATTCCCAAAAATATAAGAATTACTATTGCAACTTGATTGATTAATTTTTTTCATAGATCAAATTGACAATTTTTTCAAAATATTATTTTAGGCTTAACTAATTTGAAATTAGCTCAGGAACATTTTCTACTTAAGAAAGAAATGCTGTTGCAGTAATAAAATTTTTATAGTATAATCTTTTGAAATCTGCATCTTTCTGTAAATTATAATATAAAAATCAAATTTCCACAAAATCTATTTTAGTGGTCTCTTTTCCCAGCAACTAGCCCATATAAAAATTTAATAACTAAAAATTATTCCCGTCTCATTGTTAAGTATACATTATTGGCAATAACGGTAATTTCAGAATTTGGCAAATGAACACATGCGCTTTGCGGCACGTGTCAGTCCAAATTACCGTAATAATACGTAACAAATAAATGGATAATTAATAGTTGTCCGGAGCGTAGCGGAGGACTTACATTTTCGGGAATACGTATATCACGTGATCGTCACATATACTAGAGGCCATTAGCAAAATTTGGTGTCT